GAGTGAAAGAGTGTAAGTGTGCGATGAAATGTGCGATCACAGTTCTCAGCACAGTGAATATCATTATTAGTCTTTAGTCTTACACAACAGGATAAGCAGGTTAAACAAAGAGATGTGAATCATGTTTCCAACCACCCTGATGACAAGTATGTAAACTAATCCTTACCAGGTCAGCCACACCGGACAAAGAAGTTTCAGCCCAAATGGAAAATCTGAGACGTTTTGTCGGACAGGCACTGACTCAGAGTTAGCGTTATCTAGATTTCATTTAGCTTTTCTGAAATTCTCCATAAGTTCAGTGACAGAGACAGAGCTGGAAAAGGCAACGATGTGTCATTGTGCTGCAGGCTCTCTTTTCCTGCTCAGATATGGAGTTCTGTTGAAGTCACAAGAAAGAGTCTCTCACAGGAGTCAGACCTCTGTAACTTGATGAGACCGGGCTTTGTGACAGAGATTGGGGTTTAAAAATAAAGATGGTGTCGTTGGAATTTTAATTGGGGGGAAAATGGAATTCCCCTACAAGTCCAAATTATTTTAGGCTACATCTTAGTGGTTAAAGACATAGATACTGCCAACGCTGAGGGGGCGATTATCTGGTGGAAATCACTGTTGCCATGATATTGATATAAACCTACATGCAGCTAGAGCCGCTCAGTGTATCAGCAAGTTATTGTGAGATACTTTGCGTTTGGGAAGTACTCAAACCACTTCAGTTCAGTTAATTACTTCATTTTGTGGAACAACCACGACTCTTCTTGCCGCCTGGTGACGCAGAAGCCGTTGGTCATTCTAGTCAAGCTCCAGAGATCCTGTGCGGAGAAACATCAATGCGTTTTTCCTGGAGAAATGCGAACACATGTCCAAACTGGAGTTTCCTGCAGGCTGTTTGCGGATTTGGTGTCACACCTATCAGTATTTATCTGGATATCTGCCAATAATTGTACTCTAGGACTGGATTTTAATATTTAAACATATTACAGAGGCAGTCATTCTATCCTCGGTTGTGTCTTTTGCCAGGTAAACAGTAGAATTACGCCTTCACGTTACCAATTTCAGGAATGTGTGCGGGCATGTATTTGATTGGCTCACGCGCTGTGTTGTTTGATGAGGATGCGGCAAATGATGAGCAACGCTCAACTTTTTTGCTGGAAAACACATTTTTAATTGTTCATATATTTATACAATTTATATAAAATAGCAGGTTTTCTGGAGCAAACCACAGCGACAACAGTCGGCGTGTCATATATCACTGTCTGTCAAGTGAGGGAATGGAAAAAATGGGAAGATGAAAAAAAAAAAAAACACAGCGTGATGGAAAAAATGCAGTACATGCACGCTCTCTCTCTCTCTCACACACACACTCGCGTAGCAGCCACACCAGGGTGAGGTTGAGGTCTGGAGATGATTAGCACCTTACACACACTGACTCACATGGTAATGTTTAACATCAACAAACAGCACTTACATGAGAGCATCAGTTTCACTGTTAGGTGGCTCATCAACTTTACACCACTTTATTTTCCACACACGCATTTTCCATTCAGCGCGCGCACACAGGACGGTGCTTTTAGTCAATTCACTGTGAATTAACACCACACTCAGGGGGCCTTAGTGATCACGAACAGAATGTCGACACGTTAGCGTGATAGTATATGATAGACTCGTTCCGACCAAACCACCTGCCAGGTGTCACTGCCTGTAAATAGATGAGATGTACTCTAGAGTTTAAATAGCCTCAGAGACTGGTAGGTCACTGCAGTCTGTGTTAGCCGCCACCTCACAGTCAGAAGGTCAACTCCACTGAGGTCCTTTGTCATTGTATGTCTTTGTATGTCCAGTCCATGCCCGCACGGGATTCCTCCAGTCGCTGCAGTTTCCACCAACGAGTGTCTACTCGTGTGAATTTGAGCGTTGGGTGTTCAGACTGAAAACAGATCTGTGTTAACAGACCACAAGGCATTGTGCTGACGTTGTTGTGTCGCAACAGGTACGCAACAATTTCCATCTATCATTAAGCATCTATGTAACTTTGTGTACACATTGATATAGACTGATTTACATGATATGGACATTATGCACAAATATAAAATGTATATAATGTTTAGTGGACACAGGTGATAGACAGAATTCACCAAAGACTGTTGATGTGGTTTACACTGTATTTAATTTGCACTATGTGGTTTGCACTATTACTCGGTCCTGTAAGGAGCTGTGGGGTTACCGTGGTAACAAGGGCACTGGGAGGGGTTAAAAGCGGATGTTTTGCTGACACTAGGAAGTTCTCTGTGGTCGGAAAAAGTTTGTAAATAAATGCACATCGAGAGGTGCAGAAAACGAGAAATCTACTTTATTCCATCGACTCCTACAATAATGTTTTTTAAAAAAGTGCTTAAACATGCAGTGAAATGTCATATCCAGGAAAAAATGGCAGAGTTTATTTGGAAGCTGTGTGCCTCAAAGAGTACTCCACAACGAGTAGGAGGTCCCCGCGGATAGCAGATCTTGGCAGTTGTAGCAAATAAGAACTTTGAAGGCTGAAGTGAAGAAGGTTTCCATGTGAACAGAAGTTGAACACGGGCAGCTGTTGCTCAGGAGGTAGAGAGGGTCGTTCATTAGTTGGTGGTTTGATCCCATGCAGGCTCATCCTGTTAAGTGCTTTGAATGGTCTGTAAGACGAGAAATATGGAATATAATACAGTCCATTCCAGTAATTTATCTCAAACTGCCTGTTGTGCAGACTCTTTTCCTTTCTTTCCTTAAGAGGTCTCTTTAAAAGGCCACCTCGGCACTTGTGAGTACAGCACAACTACTAAGAAATGTTCATTCTGAAAAGTTCACAAGAACAATTTTATCTCAAACATGTTACATCTCTCCGCAGGAAGAAAATATGATGCATTTCCTCAATTAGTGTTGATGCTTTGTCATCATGTCTGTATTGTGTCACTTTTACCAAGAATGAACCTCCATGTTTGTGGCAAAGTGAATGCTTGGCATTTAGGAGAAAAACATTTTTGAAGAGGAAAAAAGGTTAGAGCACTTATTCACATCCAGCAGTGGGTCCTGTCAGCGTCAACAAAACTCAGCAATTCTGTTTTACCTTATTTTGTTGCTTAGATGCTGCGTGTAGCTGAGCACTTTAACAAAAAACTATATTTATAATTCTCATGAGAAAAGATGGTGTCTAACATAAATGGAGAAGTGTAGGAATGTTATTTGTACTAAAGAAAAAAAAAAAAAAGGAAGCAGAAATGACAATTGAAATGAAACCAACCACAAACTGATCATTGTGAGCATCCCCCGTGAGGTGATTCACTTAAATTATATTTTATATAGCGCCGAATCACAATAAACATTATCTCAAGGCACTTTACACGGAAGAGCAAGCACTTTGGCGACTGTGGAGAGGAAAAACTCCCTCGTCAACAGGAAGAAACCTCGAGCAGAACCAGGGTTCAATGCAGGCGGTCATCTGCCTCGACCGTCTGGGGTGAGCAGAGAAAAATGGGGAGGAGATGGGTGGAAAAGAGGGGAGAGGAGAGAGAGAGATAGTGGGGAGGGGGAGAGAGAGAGACGTGAGAGAGACTGGGAACACTTGAGCACCATTAGGTATCAGCTGTGACTAGTTAAAATGAACCCAATAACAGTGTAAGGAAGTTATTGATTATTAATGATAGCAGCAACAATTCATATAATAAATAATAATTATTGTTGTTAATAATAATACAAGTTGTTCTCCTGCAGTTCTGGAGTCGGACTATGGGAGGAAAAAGAAACATAGTTATTGACATGTATGCAAATAAATAAATAAATGAATGATTGCGATGGAATGGAGAAAAGCAAACTATTTATGGACCTTCAACAATCGCAGAATCGTAAACAATGTATAATATTTCTTCATATATAATTATAATGTATAGGAAACTTGTGCATGATAAAAAGGACATAAAGGAGTTTTTTGTTTTTAAGTGACTGCTTAGAAGTACGTGTTAGATCCACCACATGATATCCTCTAATGGGCCCACAATTCCCAGACCACGTGCTAAACCAAGATTAATATTTGCCAGATGCCTTTCTAGTGCTGTTAATTGCATAATTAATGTTCCACTAAGTGTGAGGATGAAAGCTTTTATCTCTCCCAGATGTCAAATGTGCGACTTTGTCGGACTCGACAAACGGAATGCGTCGCTATCCTCCTCACGACCACAAAGTTGTCGAACACACAGGTGCAAGTGCTGGCTGTGTTTTTCCAACTGCACACACACACACACACACACACACACACACACACACACACACACACACACACCTCTCCTCCACTTCAAGCTCTCTGCTATTAATACCTCATAAAAGCATGCTATCAAACTGCATACTTTCCATGAGCACCAGCTCTCACCTCTTGCTTTTTATCCCTTCATCCCTCCATACTACATTCTTCCTACCAGCCGTCTCTTACGCTCTTTCTCTCCCTTTGTCTGTTTGCTGCTATGTGTATCTCTCTCTCTCTCTCTCCCCCTTTGTCAATTTCTGTCTTGCTCTCTCTGCCTCATTCATATTTACATGTTTCCACATCTTGCCCTGTGTACTCAGCAGTCAGGCGACAAGGCTTTGTGTGGAATCAGGAGGAGAAAGGCTCATTGTCGCGTAGTTTCCGTTGAAAGAAAGGATTTTTTTGTGTTGAGATGAAATACAACCGAAGGCAGATCTGGGCTTTTTGTTTGCTCAGTGATGATGTCATTATTTTCCAGTCTCTCTCTACTCACACAGACACACACACACTGGTCTTCTTTATGTCTGATTAGTCAGCATTGGCTTGTATCTGTCAGTAGAGCGATAGGATGAAAAAAAAAAAAAAACAGACTGTCCCTCCCCGTTCCACAGACGATTGGCTTGCTATGAAAGAACAGCTGAATGACACAGGAAGAGGAGGGGATGGGATTGTGGGTAATGCGTCATCGACTGGCAGGGGCTCATTTAAGCGGCTGTGTAGCAGGAGGAGAAAGAGAAAGAGCTCAGTAGAGACTGAGTGACATTTTCAGCTCTCCACACCCAGATCTCTGGAAAATTCCTTCACTTTGCAGGCTGCTGCAGAGCTCGCTCCCCGAGGCCGACAGAGAGATACGGGAAAAGGTGAAATATTAACTGGCTGATTTTGGGATTTTGCCTATCTTTTGCAAGTGTTGCGGCAGATGACTACATAACCTTGGAATTTAGGTTAGGAGGCTATATGTAGAACATTTCCCTTGTGAAGCTAAAAGAAGACAAACATTTACGGATACAAAAGAAGATCCTTGTGCAGGGAGCCAGAGGTGGATAAGAGCTGACCTGTTTCCTGTTGGGGAGCATCTGTTAATTCCTGCTCGCCTGTCACCCTGGGGAAGGCAACGCTCCTCCGTTTCCCCCCCTCCTCTTCATCATCATCACCCCCATCGCCCTCACCACCGTTGAAGTCCATTTCAGCGTCCCGTTGCACTCTGAACTCGGGTATCAGGTGGAAGAGGCTTCGGCTCCTGGGATCGCCCATCATGCACATCAAGACTACAAAGTGTAACCGCTTCTGCTTGGTCGCTTCCGTGACTAACCAGGAAGTGTTCAGTCGTCCTGAGACGCAGGTAAGAGAGCGTTCAAGCTTCCTGGACACAATTCATCATTGAGTCCACCCACCTGGACCAGAACCGTGTCACAAGCAGAACACATAATGCTTTACTTCAACTTAGTTCCTGTCAGTGTCAAAAGGCCTGCAGCTATTTTCACTGTCAATCAATCTTGTCAATAGTCATCCAGATTATATTCAAACAGGATTGTACGATGGCTCATTGAAAGTTATTTGCCATTTTGAGTAATGTGCTTGATTCAGAGGCAGCTCCATGCTCACGTAATGTGCAAAGTCAGAAGAACGGCTGATTTGGCAGTCATCACACGAGCACATATCTGAAGTGATGATCTGAGGTGTTATAGGTGTCTAACTAGGTCGGATAAAACTACACTACGTTACGGTCTGTGTGTTTTGGCTGTTTTTGGTGTTCTTATACCTAGATATTGTAGGGGCCTTACTCTGTCATGTACTTACCATTTTCATGGAGACTCTGCAGGGAGCATCTATAAAGATTGTAATGAGAGGTTGCGACAATGAGGGACCTGACCTCCTAAGGCCACACTTTGTTCTTCTTCCTCCGTTGATTGGTCCGTGACTCACTGCACAAGTCCACAGTCAGTGATTGCTCTTGTGTTGCAGTGCAGTGGACACAACATGCTGACTGACGACAGTGGGAGGCAGGGGTGACTTGTGAAAAACTATTTTTATCCACATAGTCCAACTGTGACAACTGCAACATTACACCGTTTATAATTTTTTTAGTCCGCTTATTAGATAAATGAAGCTAAAGCAAAGTCCTGCTTATAATGGTTATAATTATATGATGTTCTACTGATTCGTTGTCTCCCTTCCTTGATAAAAATACAACAGATAATACCAGAAACATATTTTAGCGTTGACACGTTATTTTAACAATAATCTAAAATGATGATAAATATCAACATATTGATATATATATATTGTGTTGACATTCTGGCGTTTATCTACCTGAGCTTGAAGGCTAACTGCATCATGTATGACTGGATTTAGCGAAAGCGTCACAGGAGCTAAAGTGAAGCTGTTACGCACTTAACAAGCAGTTCTGTGGCTGCACTGTGCAGACATGAAATGATCATCTGGACTGGGCTCATCCCTTTGTGTTGTTGTGTGCACACTGACCTGATGAGCCTCTCATGAAGAAGACTGGGTGGTCAGAGTGGAGCTATCAGCGAGATACAATGGACTGCTTTTGATTGGTGTGTGTTCGCTTGGAAACAGGAGCCAAGGTCACTTTTAGCTGCTGTAGCTATTATTGGTCATTTTAAATTGAGGCCACAGCCTCCTACACACACACACACACACACACATATGCGCAGGCTGCGGGGCTGTCTTGAGCAAAGAAAAGCGGCTGGTAGAAGAGGCTATTTTTATCATTTTTATTCCAAGCGACTTCAAGTGCCAGAGCTGCATTCACGGCTGCCTGTGTCTGACAGTGTTTAGTATTTTTAGATAAGAGGAGAAAAAGGAGCTCAAGGGAATAAATGGAGTGGAACTAGAGGAGGAGGATGCAGAAGCTGGTCTAAATTTCCTGATTCCGATATTAACTTCTGTTCTCACCGCCTCCCTTCACCGTTTGTCTCTCTCTCCCTCCCCAGGCCAGTTTTGAGGCCTTGTTCCGTTCGTTCAACCCAGAAGTGCAGTTCCAGTACTTCAGGTCTTTCCGGCGGGTCAGGATCAGTTTCAGCGACGCTCTGGCTGCGGCTGAGGCGAGACTGCGACTGCATAAGACTGACTTCAATGGCAAAGAGATGAGACTGTACTTTGCCCAGGTAATGTCTTTGAGAAGCATCTTTTTCCTCCGACTGCATCGATTTAGTGAGAGGTCATTGATTTATTTCATTTCACTGTTGATGCCATTATGTAACTTTTCATGACGCCAAGTGTGATGCCACAAGCTTTTTTTTGGAAAACTCAACAATTACAATCAAATTCAGCTACAACGTCAAAATCCTTGAATCTATCAATAAAAGCTGCTGCTGTAAATGAACAGTCCTATACCATCCTAACTACCTTACCTGCTAATTCAATTCAATTTTATTTTTTTAGCGCCAAATCATAATATACATTATCTCAAGGCACTTTACGTAGAGGGGAGAGAGACAGGGAGCAGCATCAGCTATCAGTTAAATTGTAAACAATAACAGTGTAAAGAGTTATTGATTATTATTGATAACAGTAACAATTCATATAGTAATTAATAACTGTAAAGTAAAGTATTGTTGTTAATAATAATAATAATAGTTGTTGTAACTAATGAGGTGTGGTTGTGAGCTTACATTGGAATTTTTATTGTAGTTTTTTATTTTGTCATAATTACTATCACAAATAAGGAAAATATTATGTGGACAAAAATATGTTTATTTAGTTACGGGGTATTTTTTCAAGGGATTCCAACAATCACTGTTGGGTAATAGGTCAATAGGATCTCTGCCTCCTCAGGTGCAGCTCTGGTTTCCTCAGCAGGACTTCACTGTTCCACCAATATCCTAAAATATATATCTGGGGCTGTGTCTTTCTCCACCTTTTAACGTGGGATGTTGTGATGCTTAATATTTGCAGACAATTGATTTTAGCCCCCGGTGTATAAAGGCCAAGTAAAAATCCAAGGGTCTCACCCAGCCTAGCTGTTAGCCAGCTAGTTATGTCGTAAGTTGAGTTAGTCACCGTGTCGGGACAGCTGCAGATCCACAAGGACTTTGTCTTTGTTGCTCGGCTGCTAACTGGTAACATTTGGTGGCATTTTTTGTAGACAGGGGGATGTAACAACAGAATAAAAAATATTCTATAATGAAATCAAAACAAACTGCTGTCATAGGAAAAAACATGTGCGAAATATAATTGTAGAATAGCGATGTCAGTATCTTTCATTATGTCACTAATTATTAATTAGTTGTGTTACACCAATTCAGTCATGTCATTATTTTACATCATTCTGTTTATTTGAAAACTTTGACCCAAACTTAAATCCGTCCATTTTGTCCTGTAGTCTGTCCATATAGGGAGTCCTCGGCTGGAGCCCCCCAAGCCAGACAAGCAGTTCCTGATCTCCCCCCCGGCCTCCCCTCCCGTTGGCTGGGAGCAGTCTCAAGATGCTACGCCCGTCATCAATTACGATCTGCTGTGCGCCATCTCAAAACTAGGACCAGGTAATATGAGCTGTTATGCGATTTAAGCGTTTGAATGAAACTTAAGTGCACTCCTCCCATATTAATAGCAGAACTAAAGTCAATAAACAGCATTCTCACACAAGCGCTAGGGGGTTCCAGGTGAATCAGCGCAACGCGAAGAGCCGCCTTGATGGCGTCTCCTGACGACCTGTTAGCTCTGTATGCAAATTGGTGTCGGTCCAGAGTGGGAGGGAGAGAGGATTTTATGTGTTTAAGGACCAGCCTCTCAAAGCATTTCACTACTGTAGAGGTAAAAGCCACAGGTCTGTAGTCATTCAGGCAGTTGATAGATGGTTCTTGGGTCCAGGCCCAACAGTGGCAGATTTAAAACATTTGGGGGCCGCGCAAGTTGATCGAGAGAGGTGAAAGATGTCCGCGCAGTCCCCGAGTACACTCCCTGGGGTTCAAACCACAGAGAAATCTCCTGACATGTTCTGCGTTTACAGTAAGCGTCAGGTTGTGTGCTGATGGTAGCGGTGCTGGCCGGGTCTCTGCCTCAGTCACCTCAAAACGGGCAAAGAAGCAGTTGAGCTTCTCAGCAAGCTAGTCGCTGCTGGTGCTGGTAGTCGGATCCTTGTGAGATGCTGAATGCCCTGCCAGACATGCTTAAGGTCCCTCAATCGTCCTCCCATATGCTGCTTTGGCCTCTTTGATGCCTTTCTTTAGGTTGGATCTGGCAATGCTGTATAGTTGCTTATCCCCAGACCTAAAGGCCGAATCGCAGTCTCTCTGCAGCAGCTTGACATCCCCGGTCATTCGTGGTTTGTTGTTTGTTGATAACATCTGTCTCACCAAGACTGTCACCGACTTCATGCTCTCCCTGTGTCCAGTGGCATGGAGTGTGTCAGTTGTTGTGAATCCTAGCACAGAACTATGGTGGTTTATTTATTATCCGTGTGTCCAACACAGACATCAGCATTGTACCTGGTCTGTCTGTAGCTGTATATCATGGCGTGCATTGAAGTCTTGGTTTCCTAAAATGGCGGCTGTTAATGCCGACAGTTAAATGATGGACTGATGAAAATCTAAACCCTTTGAGATCACTATGTGTGGCTTTTGAGTTTCAATGAGTCTTGAAAGTTGAGTAAAGTTTAAAATGTAGGAGATCAGTCATGCTGTTAGGTACAATGCCTCAATCTCTGAATTAACCATTATCATTAGTAAAATGAACTAATGAGAGAACTAATAATCATTACATTTGGAGACTCAACAGGAAATACAAATGTAATTATTTGACATGATCGAGTGAAGGTATTTCTCCTGAGCTGTGATGCATTTACTGTCCCACGTCTCTTCTCACTGAGCCTTGTCTTTCATGTGCAATTCCCAGGGGACAAATATGAGCTCCACACCGCCACGCCCACCACCCCCAGCGTGGTCGTCCACGTCTGCGAGGACAAGAGCGGCGACAGCTCGGCCCCCGACGACAGCGACCAGGACGACAAGCCCCGCCCGCAGCGGCCTAAGATCATCCAGACGCGGCGTCCTGACTACAGCCCCGAGGTCAAGCAGTGAACGACGGCAAGGGGGGGCAGCAGTGCGACATTCCATCCTGATTAGACTGGTCGAGAGCCGAACGCACTCTCTGAGCTTTGAGGGTTTGGCGCCCGCGGGCGCCGAGACGTCCCGTAGACGAGCATTTCATAAGGAGAGAAAACACAATGTGGAATGCTGCATTCATGTCCCACGGGAAAGACGTGATACGAACTACATAGTTTGCGTAGCCATCAATTGATTTGTACTGTGTGAATTTGCAGTTTGGAGAAACGATGTATACCACTTTTTTTGTACTGTAGTGTTGAAGATGCCGGAGGTTTGGTTTGTGGTGATGTTTAAAAAAAAAAAAAAAGACTTAAGTTTGTTTTGTTTTTGAAGATGGTCAGGTGCAAATAAAGTCTGTGCGAGAGCATCAAACGGATGTTGGATGTTATTCCCGCACGACATGAATGCAGCATCATTCTGAGAAACCATGTTTGCGTCGTCCTCATCTAGAGTTTGGAATGTAACGAACGGACAGAAGAAGAAAAGGATCCTGCTGTGGAAGTTGAGGAGGATGTAAACTTAACTCACCGCTGGCGTTTGCTTTTTTTCCGTTCCCCTTTGGTTTGCGTGCTCATTAGCCACAAGGTCACGTCGGCCCCGCGGGTCCCGGTTACTCTTTAGAATTGTTAGATGTCTCGTCTCCTGCTCAGCTGTCGTGCGGTGGAAGAAGAATCCGGCGGAAGCTCGCCTTACTCGCACTCAGACAGGCTTACGCTAAAACGTGGCTCTTTGACAACAGTGTTCCTGTAACGACGTCTAACAGTGTTATTTGTGGATTATTTCAGTTCTCTGCGTCTGAGGTTTGGTTGTAGATTAGCAAAGAAGTATTCAAATCCAGTGATTTACACTGCGTTCTTATTTTGGGAATGTAGTTCTAACGCCAAGTCCGTCGCTTGAGGGAAACTATTGTATCTCGTTGTTAAAAGAAGAAAAAAATAGGGCTAACTTTTTGTGTCCACTTGGGCTCAATAATATTTAAACAATATGTGTGACTCAGGGCCCAGCTCTGCTCTCAGCCTGTTCTCGTGGGTCCTCATTCGATCACAGTGCTTGTGAGTGTTAGTCAACGTGTCACTGTGTTCACACAAGCTGTCTGCATGTGAAACAACTGTCAAATAGGCACCAGAAGCATGTCGTGTGTGTCTGTGCGCGGCTGTTGCTTTGTACGATGTTGTCCAAACTGCTGTCTTTAATGTTACATCGCAGATACAGCAGGAGTGCGTCCACGCGTCACGGACGCTTAAAACAGTGACATTGGTCTAAATAGAGAAGAAAAAAAACTTTGAATCATTGTGCAGAGAGTAAAACCCTGTAATGTGAGTTTTTTTAGGAAGCCCCAGTGTAAACGGATGCCTGAGATTCACAGTGTGTAGGATTTTGTGATATCTAGTGTTGAAGTTGCATGTTGCAGCTGAACACCCCTCACCTCACCCTCCCCTTCCAAACATGAAAAAGAAACTGTGGTAGCTTTAGTTGTCATAAAAACTCAAAAGGTGTTTAATGGTCCAGTCTGGACTAATGTAAAAAACATGGCGGCCTCCATAGAGAGGGTCCGCTCAATGTAAATATAAAGTATTTAAATATAAAGGGTCTTTTCTGGTGTAAAGAAAACTACAATTCATACAATGTAGATGAAACGAACTAGTGAAAACATCATGAGGATTATTCTACATTACATTTCTGCCAATAGATCCCTTTCACCTAAATCTTACACACTGGACCTTTAAGAGTATTCTGCAATTCCCGTCAACACAGTTCCTAGACAATGGAGTGACTGTAAAAAAGAGAATCAGCCTCCCGATGCTCAGTTTCAAATGTAAGAAAAAGTCACTGTTTGGCATCAGTGGTTGTGGATTTTCCGAAGATGGTTCACTGCGCCGGTCAGTCGGTGGCAACGTAGATGCATTAGTCACCACAAAATCACATTCTATGCTAAAAATGAAATATTGGGGATTGAAAGCAGCATCGTGAGGCTCTGAATCGCACAGGATGTGAATTTGAAGATGTTTTGTATGCTTTTATTCGATGGGGACAGAAAGGAGTTTCAGGTGTCAAATGTTTTTTTAGGCCTTGTCAGTATATACTGTGGTTGCATGGTGCATTTTAATAAATACGACATTTATTTTAGAGTTACTGAGGTGTCGTTTTTAAAATGTATTTAAAGAGAGAACAATCCATACAATGCAGATGAAACATACTAGTGAAATCCTCACTTGGATTATTTTACATTTAATTTCTGCCAATAGATCCCTTTCACCTGAATCTTACACACTGGTGAGAAAATAGCACACAAGGAAATAGGAGGTCAATTATGGAGTTCCAGAAATAATAAGAAAATGTACTTTTAAAAATGGCTACCATTTCTCTTTGTCCCTCTCCCTTGAATGTTTTTATTTGTATCTCTTTCCCTTCAGTCCTGAAGGCCTTCATGTGAAATTCCCTGAGTGAGTGAAAATGTGTTTGTGTGTGTGAGTCCTTCAAACTTTTTCTGGATTTATATTTGACACTTGCTCAATTCGTCCTTTGATAGCGTGCGAGTGACTCCATGGACTCAAATTAATAATGAGGATGCATAAAGGTGTAAGAAAGTTCGATAAATGAAAGTTCGATATGGTTTTAATTGTGAAAAGAGACTGTATTGTTGGAGTTGACAGACATGTGAAATACACAGTTAACCTGTTGTAGTGTAAAGCCAATATAATTCAACATTACAATGTCACCTAATGGTGCAGTCAGGATATAGACCTGTTTTGACTTTTGTTCCCAGATGCTTCATCTAAAGTAAAATGTAAAAATGTGTATACAAATCTAAAATCTTTAAAAATCAAAACCTTTTTACACCAAATTGATAAAATGATGTTATGATCTGATGTCTCAACATGATCAACAATAATTATCATTATACAAAACAAATGTTAACTATAAGTATTTTCAAAGCTAGTCCTATTTTCAACAGGACAAATGATGACATTATAACATGGATTAAGAAAGGTACAACAATGTTATCACCACAGTTTTAAAGTGAAAGAAAAACCCCTTGTTAACCCACAAGTCCCACAATGAGTAAATGTTGTATTGTGTCACAATGCAACATTTAATTCTGCCTGTTCATGATGCACGAAAATGGGTCCTCCAGGCACCAGCTGACATGGCAGCTCATTTTTTATAATTCCTGGCTCCGGGGTCAGCTCCTTCTCTCTTCAGCAGGTTCACCGCTTCAACTTGGCTTTTATGATTTTGCACATAACATTTCTGAAGAGTGTGTGTGACTTCCCTTTACATTGACAACGGACAGTGACTGTGGCTGGATAAGAAAAAGTTGCAGCAGCTCCATGTTTGCCTCCTCAGAAGCCATGTGGAGACAAGTCCGCCCAGTTTTGAGATCCTGCTGGAATGAAGCAAGGAGCACCACAGCACAAGTCAGGTAATATTTAGAGTTTGACCTTTTTATCGCTTCATCTCAATCACGAAGTAGTTGAAATAGTTACCTTGGTCAGGATGTGGGTACCCAATGCAAAGAGTCAAAGAGGTTGTGCTCAAGTGTCAGCAGCAAGGTGGCGCAACCAGCACGAAGGGGTTTGTCTGTCCCGCACGTTTTAATTTAAAGCGATTAAAAAGGTTTGGGAACATGACCCTCGTTGTTTTGCTTCAGTTTACTGACGCCTCCAAAGAGCTTGTCCGCTGTTTTGTGACAGCACCTGCAGAGACGGCTGCTGCTGATGAATGACTGGGTTTGACCAAAAAAGTCCAAATGACCTTGAATCTGAGCTTCTGCAACAAGAGCCAACGATGCTGTGTAACTTTTACAAGGAAGACATTAAAGTGTGTATTTGTGTACAAAGCTAATTATTAAGTGTGCTTAAACACGGATATATCAATGCAATATAATTCAATTTTAAATGTGAATTTTTACAAAAATGTCTGATTGCCTCACCATGGTGTCAGAAAATGTTTTGCATATGTCTAACCACCTTCTATTGAGAAACGGTTGCACTTTGTATAAATGAATACATTTACTGATATGTTAATGTTCAATATCACTAATATTTGCACTTTTGTGAGATTTCAGTTAAACTTTGTTTCTGATATTTCACTTGTGATTTTAAATCATTTCAAATTGTCGTGATTCTTAATGGACTCTAGACTGCAGATGTATTTTCCTTATCTCTTGTAATATAAACATGAAATGCTAAAAAATGTTCTTCTACTTCTGAAACATAATAAAAATATAGTAGTGAGTCGTAGAAGTGAGATTGAGATTCCACGTGCTCTGTTTGCGTAAGTGCCACATTCCTTCCACCGTAGAAGGAGATGTGATTTTTAAATTATATGTAATGAAATGTAATGTAAAATGTATTTTATATTAAGAGGGATTTTTCTTGGATAACAGAACCTTTAGCCTTAAATTTACAAGAACCTCAAAGCAAATACTTCAGTATAATGAAATGATGATGTGTTCAAGTAGCTCAGGTGGCTGCAGGATAGCTTTGAGGACACAGGTTCAAGATTCTGGAGTGTCTTGGAGTTTTGAAGTTCAACAGCCAAAGTGAAAAGTTAAAATCATGCTGAGAGGATTTCACCATGAAGGGGACTTGATGGCGTGGCGGATTGATTTGAAACTTCAAGGTTGTGCCAGATGTTGAGAAGCTGTGGCACGAAATCCGACTGGAATGTGACCAAGTATAAATGGTATTTACTTTTAAATTATAAATGTAATATAAACAACATTTGTGAATAAAATAATTACAAATTTTACAATGTTTTAAAGAACAAGCCATTGTAATTTGATGTTCTTTGACAATTCAATCCAATCGAGTGTTTCAGGTGGTTCTAGCCCTGATGGTAGTTCACATCTTATCAACCCAACAGAAATCTTTGAGCTTTGCCTCGCAGATCATCTGACGTGGGTTGGTTCCCAATGCAAAGAGTCGAATGCTGTAACAGAGTGCAGACATTACATTAGAGCGATAGCTCTGTCAAAGCGGGATTTTTTGGTGCAAGATCCACCGAGTTGCAGAATTTGACTTTTGGAATTGATTCAATCAAACCTGAATTTTAGGGCATTAACTAAATTTTACATCTGATGAGATTCCATCCTCCTCCTCTCCTCTGCCACCATGACTCAGTTATACAGTTCAAAGTTGAAGTAAGACATTTAGTTAGTCAATGTAAAAATCATTTAGTGTAATGAATAATTATTTTTGTTGGGCATTATAAGTATTTATGTGTAAGAATGTGGTGTTTCGTGGCGGAACTACTATTTGGTACCAGTTGCAGGGGGGTCACTATTAGTGACGGACTGCACTCTGGTGTCAGCGCGACGGGGGACAACAACTTGAAGCGGAAAGAAAGAAGCGATGAAGTGGAGCTGT